TCGAAATGTGGGGTGCATCTGAGCTTCGGATTGGGAGTACCTCCGAGGGAAATGAAAATTGCTCACGCACTCTGAATTACCCTCTTTGAGCTTTTAAATGAAATGCAGCCGCAAAGACCCCTCCCCTCTCTCGATAAACGCTTGATTAAGCGGGTGTACACTTTGCACCTGCGAGCTATTCCTACTCCGGAAACCTTCAACATCATGGGGCATAGGAAATCTCAGTAAGTTCAAGTTCCGATAGTTTGTGCGAGTGCATTCTAAATTTTACATGGAAAAGAGAACTACCATTGTACTAACGATGAGAAGTAAGAAAATAAGATTATTCTAGTCTTCACCATTAGAGCACTAGGAACCCTTCAAAATAGCCTAAGGAGGAGTTAACTAAAAGCCCACTGAAGTAAATTCTCAAAACCACTTGGAGACAAACAGAGCTGATCTAATGATCTAGACCAGGCGCGTTTAACACTACAAGTTTACAATCCAGCACAGCGCTGCCTGCACACTGACGGATTTTTCGACAATCAATAATGGTCGCGATCGTCGAATGTAAGCATCAATGATCAATAATCATACAAAACAACACATAGGAACCGAAAACAAAGACAGTAGTGATTCAAACAACATCAAGGACCTTCAATAAACGTTTTACAGATTAAAAAGCGTTCCGTCTTAGGGTGTTCACCAGTTTTGGAGCGAAGTAACACTAAAACAACCCAAGATATTTCTGGTGTAAGCAGATTACTGTCCCTTCCTCTGTGAACGGCAGCAAACAAAAATAGGGTAAACATAACTGCCTAGTAAAAAATGCCAAAAAATTCAACACCGACATCGAATGTGATGGAAGTCGGCATACGAACTGTGAATGAAAAGCCAGTTTTGGCAATTGTTTACATCGAATGTTCCCAAAAATATGCTTTTTCTGAGTCACCAGGAGCAAAAACATATATTCGCGCTAAATATTAGCAGCCAAAAATGTTAGCAAATATGCTTTTAAACTAAAGAGATTAGTCAGCGCTACCATGCACATAGCAAATCCTACCATCCTCCAAACTGAATGAAACCGGCTGCGCAGAAAACCAAATATATACGACTGTTATAAAGAATATTTCAAAAGTAAGTGAATGAGGCAAAAAAGGATCGACCTGCTTGAATGAAAGTTTCTTTCCTCCTTTAGGAAGGTATAGCTGGCTGGTTTCTTTCCAAATCGATTGACCGTTAGAATCTCGGAAAATAATTCGAAGCAATGGCGAGAAACGCATAGAATCTCCCCGTTCAGGAGGAAGCTCACCAGCACAAGCCCAGCACAAACGACAGGAATGTGAAGAGAGCAGCCCGTTGTAATGGAGCGCGATAACTGCCGCCATCATGGCGCAATTCAAAAAAGAAAGGACAAGGATTTCAGGGCTCAATACGCACACATAACTAACACGCACACGTAACTCTAATTTTACAAGTTCCAATATGCTAGTGACCTCTAGACCGCACAGACTGCCGACCGCAAACCATGAAAAAGCAGCCTTTAGGCGCCGCAATGGTAGCCATGACTCCGCGAGATGCTCAAGATATCTATTACGGGACTAGGCCTAAGGGGTGGTAGGGACAATTCAGTGCGTGTGAGCAAATTTTAACGTTCATCCAACAAATCTTCTCTTCTACCAGGATAAGGATAAAGGATAAAGCATTTGCCGTTGATCAATCCCTTTTTGGGATGCGGCACGCATTCTACTTCCATTTGTACATTCGCAGTGGCATTTGAATGCGATGTGGCCTATACAATGACTTGCGGGGGCCAGCCGATGTTCAAGTCAGTGTTTTTATCCTCCCAGACAAGTCTGGTACCAATTAACCGACCCCGGAGGGATGGAAGGCTTGGTTGGCCCGGGCGACTCACGACCCAGGATTTGATCCCGGACCGCTCGCGTGGTGAGCGCGCCACTTGTCACTACACCACTTCCGCCCCAGGACATGATTATACATTTTTTTATTGCTTCTTTAAAGCTAAACTGCAACACTACAATGACTTACAAATGGCCTGATTTCGTTAGTTAACAAGGCTAATTCTTCTAATTAAAAAAGTACTTCCGCCCCTTTACCAGCCTAGGAGCCAAAAATGAAGCAATAGTCAAAATCTGATGAAAAATAAGGAGATTAGCGTCAATAGCCAGTCCACTACGTAAATAGTACCTAAAATAGAGAATCCTCCTTCACCACCTTTCTACCCCCCCCCCTCAGCGTAAACCGCATAGCTTCAAACCGGTTGAGCAATGTGAAAGATACACGAATGAGGGACCAGGCAGCCGGCCTGTGATCGATGATCAGTTTGCGTATTGCAGCGCCTTTGCTGATTGCAGGTGTTGTTCAAAAAGCGCACCACGCAGCAAACGAGCGCAAAGGCATTTTTGGTAGCATTTCGAAACTACTGTAGAACTTCAGTGTCAAACGAATTTGAGTGTAGTAGATTATCTTGCAAGGCGCCATTCACTGAATAAGTTCAGAAACCTGTTTCGGGTTTGAGAAGGGAATCTCCCGGTATACAGATGTTGGTTTGCTTAGGAGAGAAAAAACGAAGTTCGATTCTGAAGCTGGGTTGAGGGGGGGGGACCGCGGCGGCGCGGCAGTCTGCTCGCCTGGCATGTTCGGAAATCCGGTGGCCAAGAGGGAGTGTAGGCAGTCTAGGGGGTGGGGGTGAGGGCAGTTACTTGACATGCGTGAAAAGCTGGAATGTTCGAGTTTATACTTTCTCGCTCGAGAGAGCGCCAGGTGAGCAGAGTACCGCGCCGCCGCGTGGTCCCTCTCAGCCCTCTTAGCGCCACGAATTCTCCGCTTTTTGTACGGCCAAACGTTTTTCGTGCAAAGGACCAGGGGTCCACTCCTTATAAGTGGTGGACCTGGGGATCTCACAGCGAAAAAAGTTTCGCTCTGCGAGAAGCGGAAAGGTCACTTACTGTCCTAACGAAGCACATGCCGTACACATACGAATCATGAATGCCGTGGGAAAGAAGATAAGGAAATCAAGAGAAACGAATAGGAATGGGATTGGGGAATCTCTATTCAGCGGTTCCCTCCTTCCAATCAACCACACGGAGACAGATACGAGTTGAATAGAATATGACACCTTCTGCAGGAAATGTCGAACGCGCGACATCCAGGCTGATGTCAGAGTCCGCGATCCGTCGCAGGTTTCGCGCGGTTCGCGCGGATCGCAAAAATTGCAAGTGCCCCATTTGAACATTTGAAACACTGAATATGAAACAAGTAGAATCATGAACAGTCGTCATTCAGCCATCACCATCAAGCAGAAATGGCGGCGGGATTGGAGAGCACCTTGCAGTATTGATCGGGCACTTGTGATTTGGATCGCGCGAATCGCGCGAAACCTGCGACGGATCGCGGACTCTGACACCAGCCTTTTGACGCCACATTCTTCGCGCGATGAGCTTCCTGATCGCCACCTCTGATTCACGTCTTTCCAATCGATTTATCATTATTTGCGTACCTTTCCTAACACAAAAAATGGTGTTAAGGTAAGGGGAGAGGGTAGGGGAGGTTGTGGGTCAATAGGACAGAACGCGACTTTTCCGCTTTTCACAGCGCGAAGCTTTTTCACCGCAGGGACCCCATGGCCACTGATGACTGGAATGGACCTGAAATTTCCGCAACGAAACAACATCGCAAAAACTGCGGAAAGCGAAAAGGTCGCGTTCTGTCCTCGCGAACACACCCTAGAGGTAGGGGAGGATAGGAAGTAGCGGCCGCAACGAGAGGCATGTTAGTATCTCTAGTGCGAGGAATCTGTGAGCCATGGGAACGTAGACAGCTCAAGGGGTTGAGGATGAGACGAGTCACTTGATATACGTGAAAACACCAGAAAATTTACTCAGACTAAATATATAATTACAGGAGCGCTGTCCCGCTAGGAAATGTGTTCATAACGGCTAAAAGATGACCGAGCCTCTGAATAAAATGAATTCATGAGGATTCGTGCCTCAGAACATCCATCCAGCAGCGTGCAAAGGACATCTTCCACTTGTGATCAGCGAAAAACAGGCCGCAAGCCTAAAAACTGTTGTCGAAAAATCCTCGAGGTTAACGCTTCCATTTCGCCTTCTGGGTCCGTGTATCGAAGGGGAGGGGTACTTGGTGTAATAGCTAGCTCGGGTCGCCTGCAGTAATCACTTTTGTAGGATGAGGTAGCTCCGGGTGTGTGAACCATTCCGCTTTCGCTTTCACATGCACCCCTGTTTCCTCCCTTGCAAAAATCGAGGTTACTGCAAATGATATGAATCACTGCACTACACGCTCCCTCAGTACTCAGACCCCGCCTTCGTTCCAAAACTGTTTAACCCACCGACAACCACCGGTTCGTGTACTGTAGCATATTTTTTAATGTTTTTTTTTCGCGAACCAGAACTCTTTGCATCCATACAACGCCGTAAAATAAAGTCTTTTGGGGCGAAAATGGGGCGCGGCTTATCACACGCAGTCCGGGGATCAAACCCTGAATCGTCAGGGTCAAGCAAACCTTACATCCCTAATTGGTACCAGACATATTTGGGAGGATAAACTACTGGCTTGTACATTGGAAGGTCGAAAGACATGTTATAGGCATCAAATCGCAATCAAAAAACTTGGCTATCACGACTTCTAGAAACTCTGCCTTCCGATATGCGTCGCGTGTCCAAAATGGTACTGGCCTAACCCGGCTGGCTTTTATAGTCTCTGCCATGTGAGTTGGCCCGCCGGCGGGCTACGCTGTCGTCAATGGGTTAATTAGACTATTAGCAATCGACCATAGGTTAAAACACATGCAAAGCGGGTTCTCTCGGGCAAAGTTGGAAAAAAGTGTTATTGTGTAGTGACTCTCCTGTTCCTATTTTTGAAGCTATGAGCGGGTTGTTCCAGCTAGGGGGAATCATGATCAGTTCTCCAGAATGCTAGGGTAACTCGGAGCCAGGGAGAGTGTAGCCAACCTACGGTGGTGGGGGCAGGTCGGTCCTATCGTTGTTACTTTTTCAAAAATTTTTACGACCCCTCCCCCAAGGTGGACTTGATACGACCCCCTTTTCGACACCTCGACCCACCATCATCCTATCTATAGTATTTAATTCTGGTACCACTCAACCCACCAAACTCCGCCCACTTTTCCTCCAAAATTACCGTCTGAGCGAGGGATGGGGAGGGGGTATATACCACTACCCCAAACGTAAAAAATTCTCGAGAAATCCTATGATTCCTCCTATCCAACCTCATTTCACGCCCTACTTTTTACGCCAATTTTACCTATCTCTCACAAACCTCATTTTCTAGGGGGGGGGGGGGGTATAGGAGTGTATCGCGCGCTGAAACGGCGAATTTTTCTCCCATGCGCTCCCAACTCACCTAGCCTACTACTCGTGAAAACTCCACTTTCACCACAAACTCACATGTACTTTCACGCGACTGAAGCGGATACGACCCCCCCCTCCTATAAACTCAACCAGGTACGACCCCCCGTTGTTACTAGTAACAACGTAGGTTGACCCTGCTGGGGAGGGGG